CTTAAGAAGGTTCAAACTATTTAAACACTATCTCACAACCTAAATAAAGCTGGTATTGAGAACTGAACAAAGCAGTGGAATTGCACCAAGTGTAACCTCTGCTAAAGTTATCTGTGACTTGTGCAATTTCTAAATGAGGCTGCAATAGGAAGCTTAATCAGAAAACATCTGTCTACTAAGATGTAAGACTACTTTCTCTGAAGTCTGTTTAACAAATTCTGATTGCTTTTTCCTAATTGCAGAAGAAAGAGTGGGACCAGATTGTTTCTATTTATACGTGCAAAGGAATTGCGTCTCTGAGGATAAGATTTTAGCCATGAAAAACAAAGCAAAGCAGAAGTCCTCAAGCCTTCCACAAAATCTACTATTAATTTATTTTACCACTGAAACGATTAACAGCCAAACTGCATGATTTAGTTTTGTACTCTGATTTTTAAGACTTGAATGACATCTTTAAAAGTAAGGTTAGGGAAGCAGTCCCAGAGTCTGCTTTTAGGATTTCTTAGTCACACTCCTTTTTCAGAAATGTTTTAAGGAACATCTATTACTCCAAATGTAGCAAATAGAGGTTTCAGACTAATTCTGATGTCAGTAATTCAGGCCATTTAAATTCTGATTTCTGTAAAAATAGTATTTGATGTTAGTTAGTGGTGATTATGTCTCCTTTTGCATTTATTTTTCACCTGTACAAGTTACAATAATAGTAAACCTACTCTTTTATCAACCTCTCTTCATACTGCACTTTTTCAGCAATAAAAATATTTTTACTGGCACATTATCCCTGCTATGTAGATTTCAAACAACAATGCACGTACCATTTTAAAGGAATCTGTGCATGATCTCATGCAAGATACTGTCTTTTCCACATAAGATGCTTACAATGTTATGGCATAGTAAGTAGTTATATCCATGACACAGAAAAATTTACAAATTGCCTAATCTCAAGACAATAATCCTTATTAAATTCACTCTTTTTAAGATACGTGAGAGCACTGATTAAGACAATGAGTGTTTTCCCACAGTAATGATTGATTATTTGTGATTCTGGATATCTCATGTACCTCTGAGAACATGGAGAATAATCACACAGCCTAGTTAGCTAAGGCTTTCCTTATGCCAACAGTAGAGTCTGTAAAATGTAGATGAGGTGCTTCTCTCTCTTGGTTTATTACGTAAGCCTAAAGTTATGCGATGGGATCATCCCCTTTAATTGCACAGGTCTCTCTTTACGCTCTTTAACTAATATCAGTAAAGTACTGCACAAGAACACGTCTTCTGTGGCTCTTATCTGTGCCGTGGGGGAAAAAGGCGCAAGGCATACTTAGCCACAGAGTTTGCTGATGTGTAATGTTATGTTAATGTTTTATTTGACCATATGATCCCCTGCTCCTACTGATTATGGTAGAAGACTCACCAGTAAAACCAAAGGTGACAATGCTATTTACTGTGTCTCCCTTTATCTGTCCCTTCCAGAACTACAGAAGTTTGTTAGTGATAAAAGCCACTAACTGTTCTGAACTGACTCTAAAAAATTAAATGAACACAAGTGCTCTGTCATTGGAGAGATGACAGTTAAGACTTCCTTATCACGATACATTTCATTGAAGTATAAAAATGACAAAAGTTACAGGGCAGCAAACTCCAAACCTGCAGGAGCAGGGGTCTGCAAACACTCTCATTCTGTAGTAGAATGGATGCACACACACGCAGACAGACATGTGCCTGTTCCTGAAATTCTGCAGCTGCCAAATTGTTGCCTAAGTGTCCGATACTTACCTGAAATGAAGGATATAAGGATTGAAATCCTCTGAAATGGCACTCTGAACTTCAGACAACTTTTCCAAGAAAAGTTTCACCTAAGCTGGTACGTTTGAGTATTTTGACTTTGATGAACTCGCCTTCTGCTGGCAGAAAATTCATGACAAGTTCTTAAATAGGAATAATTTAACTTCATTTGTTAAGACTTAACCCCCCCCAACTACGTGCTCCATTTTCTTTCATAAAACATTAATATGGCATGTAATAGTTTATTATATATTCCTGTCTCTTGAATTTATAAAACCAGGTGTTACAACTTGGCTGAGGAGTTTTGCATCTTTTGTAGTTATTGGTAGATGGATATATAATAGCTAGTAAATTATTTGAATGGAAGTAGCTTTCTAACATTTAACATTAAAATTTCAAAAGTAACCCCCCCCCTCCAAAATATTTTTTTTCTGATTTTTGTTTTAACTGTTACTGAGAGACATGACTTTATTTGGGGTTATCTGCAGTGTTAAAACCATGTAAGATCCTAGGGTGGGCCTCTTCATGAAAGGTAACAGCTTTCCTCCCTCTTCTGTATGGGTCAGCTCTAGAACAGACACTGCTTGTGATCTATAGATTCAAGATTAGCATTAGAAAAAGTTGGCTGTCTTTCCATGGAGGTAATCTTTCCTAAAGTAGTAATTGAGGCTTTTTATAAGAAACGGCATCTGGATCTACTTCAAACCAAAAAAAGCAGTATCAGCTAGAAAAATTAAATATGAGTGAAATACGAACCTAGTTGTTATCTATTAACTTCATTGGAGATAAAAGAGTATGATTTTGCAAAATATCACAGCTTGGGAAACATAAGGGAGGAATGCTGGAAGCAAAGAATACAAGGCCTTGCCTAATGTTTCATTTTTTTTTCATTCCACCAGTGAAAGAAAATAGATTCACAACCCTTCTTGTTGGATAATACTCTTTTATGTGTCGTGGTTTATCCCCAGCCAGCAACTCAGACCCACACAGGGAGAAAATTAACTCTGTCCCAGCCTAAACCAGGACAGTACCCACCCCTAATTCCATACGATTTACATCATGCTCAGGTCTCACCCTATCCAGTACATCCTCACTAACCACCACCGCCCTTCCCATCCTTTGATATATTACACAGATATCATTCACTTAGTCCATGGACCACCCTTGTAAAATGTCCATAAAATGTCCAGAAATGTCCACAAAATATCCACTGAGTTCATTTAGTCCATGACTTTGGGCTCCATCTTACGGTATTCACTCAGGACAGGAGAGGTGGTGTGTTGTGTGGAGTTACTGGGCATCAAAGCCAGCTCAGGTCAGGTCACTGCTGCACTTGCACCGCTTCTTGTAAGGCTTGTCCTCTGTTGGTTCAGGTGGTTCTTGCTCTAGTAATTCCTATAACATGCAACTCAAATCATGGGTTACAACAATGGTAAAGATATACCCATTACATCTCCACCTCTGATCCCCTTAGGCCAGCTTATATAGGGTTTAACATTGCAATGAACTCCTCCCCTTGCTCCTAGCCTGGCTAGCAACAAGGGGTTCCAGCTATAGTAATTCCCATACATACAACTCAAATCCCAGGCAACAACAATTTAAAGGCAGTTCCATTACAATATCCACCCCTGGTCTCTGTGGACCAGACCTTAGGGTTTAACATTGCAATGAACTCCTCTTGCCCCTGCTCTGGCTTGGACTTATCCACAGCCTGCAGTCACATAAGGCTGTACCCACTCTAAGTGGAGCCTTATCTATAAGCCATGGTCTCTCCAGAGGTATACCTACTGTGGCATGGACTTACCCACAGCTGCAGTCACTGGTGCACCTACTCCAGTGGGGCCTTCTCCATGGGTCACAATGTCTTCAGAGACGTGCCTGCTCCAGTGTGGCCTTACCCACAGCCACAGTCCCTTCAGAAATGAACTTGCTCCGACATGGCCTTACCCATGGCTGTTGTGCTTACCCTGCTCTGTCATAAGCTTATCTATGGCCACACACTCTGAGGAGCTCCAGCATAACCTCATGCACAGCCACTGATGCTTCAAGGTGTACCTGCTGCAGCATGGACTCATCCACAGCCACAGATGCTTTGAGGTGTACCTTCTCCAAAGTGGACTTATCCCTGGGCCACAATCCTTTTAAAGGTATACCTGCTGCGGCACAGGCATAACCATGGCCACAGACGCTTCGCGATACACCTGCTGTGGTGTGGACTTATTCATGGCCACACCACCGCTTCGGGGTGTCCTGCTCCTGCATGGACTCATCCTCAGGTCACAGTTCCTTCCACTCGAGTTCACACCGGAGTTCCAGCCTGTCCCGTACAGCAGCACAGAAACAGCAGTGATGCCCTGGCCATCGGCCAGCCCAGGCGCATCGCCATGGCGGTTATCAAAATGTTCCCAGGCACAGCACAGCGAGATAAGCAGTACAGTGGTACAGCAAGCAGCAAAAGCAAAAAGCAGCAACTAACGAGCAATGGACTCTAATGTACAGTAAGGCAAGCAAACCCCATGGCAAGCACAGGAGCCTGCCGACTAATAGCTAAACAGCAATAACAGCTCTAGATTTGGTCTAGCACATTCCAATCAAACCTGTCATTATCTCAAACCCTTTGAGCCCCACGTTGGGTGCCAAAAAGGACTGTTGTGGTTTAACCCCGGCTGGCAACTAAGCACCATGCAGATGATCGCTCACTCCCCCCACAATGAGATGGGGGAGAGAATCCAAAGGGTAAAATTGAGAAAACTCGTGGATTGAGATAAGGACAGTTTAATAGGTAAAGCAAAAGCCACGCATGCAAGCAAAGCAAAGCAAGGAATTCATTCACTGCTTCCCATGGGCAGGCAGGTGCTCAGCCATCTCCAGGAAAGCAGGGCTCCATCACGTGTAATGGTGACTTGGGAAGACAAACACCATCACTCCGAACATCCCCTGCTTCTTTCTTCTTCCCCCAGTTTCTATACTGAGCATGCTGTCATATGGTCTGGGACAGCCCTTAGGCCAGTTGGGGTCAGCTGCCCTGGCTGCGCCCCCTCCCAGCTTCTTGTGCCTCTGGCAGAGCAGGGGAAGCTGAAAAGCCCTTGACTGGTGTAAGCCCTGCTAGCACCAACTAAACCATCAGTGTGTTACCAACATTCTTCTCATGCTAAATCCAAAACACAGCACTATGCCAGCTACTAGGAAGAAAATTAACCCTATTCCGGCCAAAACCAGGACACAACTACAACACACTTACAAACTTATTTTTGAACGTAGAACTCAAGAGACTGCAATTATTAAAAATAAGTTTCAGGTCCAAAGTTGTACTACCAGAAAAATCCAAAACATTCTCAAAATACTTCCATTTTCACATTTGATTTAATAATGGGATTATAACTGATGTAATGAGGTTAGGTCACATGACCCAAAACTTAAGTACGTTACTCTAATTCTCAGTATTTATTGGTGTTTCATGTGTTTGTGTGCCACACTGAAGGACACTAACTTTCCTTCCTAAATTACAGTGTAGATCACCCTAACATGACTTGATTTAATCTTTAATCATAATTAATCTTTATCTCAGTCTTCAAAAATCTTACACAGACTCTACATTTTCTTGGAATTGTCAGGCCTGTTCTCATGCTTCTTACCCTGAGCTTTTTAACTCAAAGCATTTTAACTCCTTGTTGACCTTGCAAGGATTACATAGCAATTATAGTACTGAATCGCAAAATGCTGCTGCTCTATATAACAAAGTGTTAATAAAAATCAAGCTGCTAAAGCCAAGTAAATGAAAGACCAAAGGTACTTATGAACAATACCAACAAAGTAACTGCCACAATGTAGGATTAATAACAAAACCACCTTACGCTCATTGACCAACTGTTATTGCTACCATATAGGAAAAGAGAAAAGGCGAGGAAGAAAACTAGGGCAGTGATGGCAAAAGCTTTAAGAAGCCAAGCCACACTGAAGATTTCATGGAATTCCCTGTGGTGAGGAGAAAGCTGAACTTGTATTTTCTGCTGTGGCTCAGGGGGTTGCTTGGAACCAAGGGAGGTTCATCGCTTGGCCGCAGTTCACTGGGCTTGTTTGGGAAACAGGTGTTGTGAGTGGGAGAGAGTTCTTGCAAAATGAATGTGAAAGAACTGTTCTGCCTGATGGGCTATTAATTGCAGCCTAAATAAGGTAGTTGGGCTGGCCTAGCTGAAAGTGAAGACAAAGTGACAGTCAGCAACCAGAGAGCAAATAAACATGACTCTATTGCAATTTAAAGGTAGGGCGTAGGGAAGACACAACGATGTTGGTGTTAATGATTAAACGTGCAGAAACAAAGACGACAATGCAATAGTTGCAAGACTGATGTGGTACTTTAGCACTTTATTGTTGATAAAAAGTGTTTTAAACAGATAATGACAAGAAAACTTGTGACAGAATCACAGTTTTTTTCTGCCTGAACAATACAGAATATGGAGGCAGCCAGGTAAAACTTGGCAATGTGTACAAGAGCATTAGTTGGAGGAAAGATAGACTTAGATAGATCATTACAAGGAAGAGAAAAAACAACTAAACAATAGTTTACTACACCTGATTCAAAGAGTCGGTATGAGCAATAAGGAATAACATAAACATGCAGCAGTACATGACCTGGAGAACAAAAGGAGATATTTTAAATTAGTACTGCAGACTGTAAAACCAGATGTTATATGGACAGCACATTCATACATGTATGGTTTTAACCCCCAACTCTAACAGATGATTTAAGCAGAATGATACCTTCTGCCTCCTTGGATAGTGGAACCTCTGACACAGCCTCGGCGAGCCTTGTGTCAGGCTCAGGTTCTACACTGGATGAGTACAGCAGTTTAAGCTACTTTCGCTTCCCTCAAGGTCTCCTGGCATTCCTTCCTGCCGTTGTCTCACAGCACCCTATGTCCACAATTAGAAAGCCACAATGCTTTGGGGTGTCTCTTTCAAATGGATTCCAGAAGTGACCCAGATGAAAAACCATCAAACCTCTCCCTCTTCCCCACCCCAAAAAAGTAGTTACTTTTCTCCAACAGATCAGTGCCCTGATTTTGTTAACAGAACACTGTCACGCACAATTGTGCCAAAGCAACATGGGAAGCAAGTTTGTTTAGTTTCACACACATACTTCCTATGGCAGCATGCATTGGGCTTGATGAAATATATGACCTTTTGGAACGATTGACAGATGTTGGAGACATTGATGATGGTTTTGCAGTTGCTCTGGTGAGATCTTGTTTGATTTTGTGTTTGCTTATCCATAGAAAATTCACTTTTGGATTGTTAGATTGAAAACAGGAATGAGGAGGGAGTTTTTTCTGAACTATCATTTTCCTCCAGAGGAAGGTACAGTTGTTTAAGAACCTTTCTGCATAAATTCCATCACAGGATGAAATACAGCAGAGAGCAATGTATACTCAATGGAATTTCCTTTTGTTACAGTAATAAGTAAATTGCAATATTGTGACTTATTCAAAGAAGTGATCTACTTATTGTGCGGTAATCTTTTTACTGAAGAAAGTAATATTTAAAGAAGATGGAGGATGTTTCAATTATTCTTTTCAGAGCGGCTACATGGGCCTAGTCGTCTACCACAACTGCATGTGAGTCATGCTGCTGCTCCCGCAGCGTCCTGCTGCTGGAGATTCAATTAAACATGACACATCTATCTTCTGAAATTCCATTTTGATATTCTTCCACAAATGTCTCTCTATATATTTATTATTCCACAGGTTTTCTCATGCTCATCACAGTAGCATTTAAAGTCTTACAAAAGTGCACCTAATAGCCTAAGCAATTAAAACAAAATTAATGCTGTTGAGCTGAAGACATGGCACTTGCTTTTAGTTATGCAGCGACAGTGATGTGTATGGAACCACTTAGTGTTCCTCCACACAAAAGTTAGGGTTAGTCTTGAGATTTCATGTACCATGGATCTCACTCTTGTCTCTGACAAGATTCTGCAAGTTGTCATTGTATTGATCTTCTAATGTCCTCCTCTATGTTCACGGCATAGAAAAAAATCTTCAAAACAGTATCAAAAGCACTAATAAAAGTGGAATACTGGAGAAGCATGTGTCAAATTAATACTCAGTTATTACAGTTAATGCAGTAAATCAATAGCTTTATTATGTAAAAATAAAGCAGTAATAACACTGCATCATATATAAAAGAAATTTTACTGTAATGTGAGATAGTAACAAGACATAAAGATACAGTACATTTTTGCTTCATAAACCCAAGTTCACATCCATAGGGACCCTCTACATTACAGTCAGCTGAAGCTTCAAATTTAAGCCATATATGTATATAGTAGTTCAATGCTGTATTTTTACAGACAGTTTTACACCCTGCTCAATAAAATAAATTCCATACATCAAGTTAACATAGCCGCTAGTGGCAATGCAGAAACAATTTTGTGACAAAATGCATCATTCAGTCTATCCATCTATCTGATATCCATTACAATAACATCCATCAAAATATTACTGACAAATCTCTGTTTCAGAGCTGAAGGAGCAGAATTTCTCCCTCTCCTATGGAAACCTTTGATGGGAAATTCTTATGTCTATCTTCTGCATCAAAGTGACAGTCAGGAAATTCTGTGATGTGGCTATAGATTGTTACTGTGTGTACTGTATACTACTGTCCACAGAACGTCCCCGTTCAACATCTTGCAAGACTGGAGTATAGAGGAACCTCACTAAGAGGTTTTTTAAGAAAAAAATATAGTTTTGTTATTACTATCACTTATTTGCATCAGTACTTCACTGATTAACCAATAATTTTGTATTTCTACCTCAGACTTTCAAATGTCAAGTGACTTTGGCTTTTTCCAGGTACGATACAAAAATACCAATATGGAGGCCTGCAGCATGTTTGGAAGCTGTTTGCTTGTGACTGAAGTGAAGGAAATGATAAGGGGCATCCCCTCAACTTAAACAACTCCCCTTGACCATGAGCTCTGCTGGGTACAACAAAATGAAGCTATCAGTAACACCTGCTGCATAAAAACCATAGCGCAAGTGTAGTGACTGAGATGAAATTGTGTTTGGGGAAGTGGTGAGGGGCCGGGGGGCAAGGAGGAGCAATTCTGTATCTCCATTCTTTTTACCCTGCGTCTGAATAAAAAAACTCAACACAAGTTAACAATACAGACCTGGATTCTTATGCAACCGGATCCTGCTGCCATCTCAGGTGCACTCAGGCACGTCCTGGCCAGCTGCCAAGCCTCTGGCACACATCTTCCCATCAGTGACAGCATTCTGCAGAGGAATGGAGGGATCACCGACTGGACCGGATCACCTAGCAACTTGTGGCAGCCACCGTTAGTTGCTAAAGCAAGGAGAACAAGCTACTTGACGTGAAGCTTGTATTACCGACTTTCAAAATACCTTCTTCGCGCAATGGCCTTGAGAGCAAACTGCTAATGGAGCGCGTAGATTATCACAGCAAATCTGAAGGCGCAAGTGTAGCCTCATCTTCAGGAAATGTTTTCTAATCTGCCCTGTGGAGAACCGTAGGGTCCGCCAGCCCCGACTCTCCGTGCTCGGATAGCGGCTGAAGCGGGAGACGCGCCTGCGGCGGCACTTGGCAGAGGGGCAGTACCGGCTCCGAAAG